TGAAAAATTGGATTTTTCATATGTTTTACTATTGATCGACAAATTTCGGCCAATACTTTTTGGTAGTGAGTGTATATCACATCGCGCAGCACATCTTCCCATCGAACGAAAAAATGGCTAGTATTGAGCAAGCGTTAAATAATGCACAGGAGAGTGTGAGGGAGGCAGAAAAGAACTTGCGAGAAGCACAGACTGAGAATGAGAAGGAGTTCTGGAGAGGACGGCTGGAGGCGCGCGAGGCGCAAGTGAATAAACTAGTAGATGTGTTGGCGGCATCAACCGTCCCGTCAGGTAACGACTTTGTGACTCGGGCTTGGGGACATAGAATAGTGTGTACACAGGGTAGAATCGGGACATAGATTAACCTCTTTTTTTTCTTCCTTCTTTCATATTGACATCCTGTTCTTCATAGATCAAGAAGGTAAGATTATATATGCTGCCTGAAATTACAGCTACTTATCTTTTAACAACTACAAATGTTATTAATTGGTCTCACTTGAAAACGATATAATTTTTTGACAACTATTTTTCTTATTGCTCCCTGATATTAAGAAAGCACCACACTCAAGCGTCGGATTGCGTACGTTGAACATGAGCTAGAACGTCAGAAGAAATCTCGGAATGACAATTCTCACATTGGTACACGAATTCTGGAAGATCCTGAAACGCTTGATGAAGAAGCAGTTTTCGATGGAATACCTTGGCCGGAGATACCTCAATTCACGATTACAATGCCACCTGATAATGATGAAAACCGTCACACAAATGAAATAAAGAAATTTCTAGAATTTCTCATTCCATTAACCGAATTCGACTTTCACGACACCCGCAACTCTCCAATCTGTGATCCTAATGCAAAGATCGACTTCATTATTGTGCGCAAGAATGGGTACCGTTTATGGACAGAATTGGTAGCAGTGATAGAAGCAAAAGGGGAAATTCGAAACACAACAAGTCATAAAGATGCAGTGGGTCAGATCTGTGATAGTTAGAGATGTTATCAGTCTAATCAGGACTTCAATTCCTGTAGTCCAGTCCAATATACAAGGCGGTCCAGTCCCGTGTT